TGAGCTCCCGGGGCTCGTCTCTGCTTTCCCCCCTCAGACGGCTGCAGCGCTGAGGACAAATACAAGATGTGGATGAGGCACCGCTACAACGACTGCGTGGCTTGCTTGGCGGAGCTGATGGGGCACGATGCCTTCCAGGTCAAGGTAGGCACGAATTCACGCCGGGGTCGCTTGCCACGCAGAAGCAATTATCGCCCTCAGATTTCAGCGTGGGAGGGCAGGCAGCACCCTAAGACGCTGTCGGCGCTCTGGCTCACCTCTGCTCGCCAGCCTGCCGGTAGTAGGCACGCAGCTTCCTCAGTGAAGATCCTCTCCGTTCATTCTTCCTCCTTTGGAAGTTGCCTCCTTTGGGTCTGACCCCGTGGTGTCCTTGTTGAGATGGTTTTTTTCTCTTTTTTTTAAAGGAATCATCGCTCTGCACCCTCATGAAGTTCGTTGAGTTAGAGGCACAGCATCCATTGATCAAAGTAGAGTGGAAGGGGAGCTTAACGTTTCCTCGTGAACATCTTAAGGTAAGCTGAGGAACTCGACCAGCCGGGTTAGCTCAGTTGGTTAGAACACGGTGCTAATAACGCCAAGTTCACAGGTTCAATCCCTGCTTACTGCAGGGGGGTTGGGCTCGATGATCTCTCAAGGTCCCTTCCAACCCAAAGCATTCTATGATTCTATGAAAAGTTCCTCCTGCCCGTTACCCGATGGCACGCGCGGCCTCGCGCGCTCGCCTTTCTCCAGGACTAGAATTTCAAGCTAGGAGGCTTTCGGTGCGGAGGGAGGGCGGTGCTCTAGAGAGAGCACCGAGACCTGGAGCCTCTGTCCCCGGGGAGGTGTGGGAGCAGCCGCCTTGTACAGCTTCGAGCTGGATTCCTGAGTGTTTGCAACGTACCAGTTCCGGGGGTTTTTTTTTTTTGAGGTCCCTGGCCTCACTTGCAAGGGTTGGGAGATGAGAGGGAAAGTACTGCCCTGGGTTCATCCACCGTGTCATTTCTAAATGGTATGGATAGAAGGGGCCCATCTTGGAGGTCAGGAGGACTTGCCAAAATGGCTTGTGAACGTTGCCTCGGGGCAAGCAGCGCACAGCCATGCTGGCTGCCTTTGAGAAAGGCAGGAGGGTGCCCTCAGCCAGCACAGCTCGCTCTCTGCTCCAGTCCTGCAAGGGACTGACGTGTTGCTCTCCTTCACAAACCTTTTGTTAGGTAGTTGTTGATGGCTTACTTCCCTTACATGAGGATGCTTCACTCCTGATCTCTCGCTTTCAAGAATATATGGAGTATGATGACATTCGGTACTTTGTCATAAAGGCGGTCACTGAGAGTATTGGACAAGTCATGCAGAAGACAAAAGAGGTAACAAAACGGGTGGATGTGGCACCTGGGGACATGGTTTAGTCTAGTCTACCCTTGATTGGCTTAGAGTAGGCTTGGTAGTGTAGGTTAATGGCTGGACTGGATGATCTTCAAGGTCTTTTCCAACCTAAACGATTCTATGATTCTAAATTGTTGCTCTTGAGGTGGGTCTGGATAAACTGCTCTGAAACGTGTATCTTGTGCGTGAAGCAGGGAGGGACAAGGGACAAGGGACTAGTGGTATGTGGAAAGACTTTGGAAGCAAGAGAAATGAATGTGCTCACTTGAAGGCATAGATTTTTTTTTTTTTTTAATTTATTATTTTTCCCTTGCTCATAAGGTATGCTAATTCTGCTAAGACTGTCTCTAGTCTGAAATTGGAAGTAGTTCGAGACACACATACTGTTATTCTTGCAAAACCTGGTCTGGGCTCTGGCTTCTGTTTTACCCAAATCTCTGCAGCTCGGGTGGCACACGCAGAACTTTTAATTCTGTTCTCTCTCTGGTGCAGAAGAAGAGTCTGTTTAATTGGATCCACCAGTTTTGTTAAACCAGAATTAGTTCAGAGATAGATTTAGTGTTAGGCAAACAAGTAACCCTCCAGGATGAGGCAGCAATAGAGAATATATCGGGATGTAGTTCAGCCATCAGCATTTTTCCTTTCCTTTTTCTTTCCTAAATATATTCAGAGCTTGGGAAATAGGGCAATGTTGAAGTCCAGCATCTTATCATCTGTTGTGGAACTTGCTTCGTGTTTGATGATATGCTTTTTTCTCAGAGGCCGCTGCCGTTTTACCAGCAGAATGTATTTTCCCTCATTTCACCCATTAACATGCCGAACAAAGAGCATGACATGGTCAAATTTATGGTGAAGCAAGGTCAGTAAGATCCACGTGGGGAACTGTGTATGAAAAGGAAAATCGGGTTTAAGATTTCTATTGCGTAAAGACTCTATTATTGTTTGCTAATGAAAAATGTCTGCTTCCGTGATCGCAGTGATTCTAAGCAGTATTACAAAATCCACATTCCTCAGTCTGCAGTGGGGTCTGTTGTGGCCTTGTGTCAAGACAAGGACTTGGGCCCAAATTTTTAGGGTATCAAAGGACTACATTAAAAAGGGTCATCTTAATTTTTTTAAACATCCGTTTCAAGTTCAACACTTGTTTTCCCTTTCTTCTTAGATAACTGGGAGGAATTGAAAGTGTCAAAGCTGCAGGTAACTGTTCATTTGGTGCTTCAGAGTTGAAATTTTATCAACTTAAAATACAGCCTTATCTACACCAGCGTGTTTAACTCACTGCTTGCAATTCTGTTTTAAAGGCACACAAGCAGGCGTTTGAAAAAATGTGGCTCAGTTTTTTGAAGCACAAGGTGAGTGGTTGCTTCTGCCACTGCTTTCCAGTCTGCGCTGCTTTCCAGTCGCTAACCATTAGGGGCTGTGGCTGTCCTTGCCTGGAGCTCCTGGTAGGACCCCACTGTGCTTTCAGTGGCTGATGAGAACAGCCCCCTCACCATTTCTGCTGGATTGTTCTCCTGCCAAGAAACATGGCCTCACGTAGGGTCTGCTTTTGCTGCTTACTCTCAGCTTTTTTTTTTCCTGCCTTAAACAAGCCTGCCTGTAAGGAATGATTTGCAGCATAACAAACTTTAGCCTGGAGAAGAGGAGGCTGAGGGGAGACCTTACCTCTCTCTACAACTGCCTGAAAGGAGGTTGTAGTGAGGTGGGTGTTGGTCTCTTCTCCCAAGTAGCTAGCGATAGGACAAGAGGAAATGGGCTCAAGCCGCGCCAGGGGAGGTTTAGGTTGGCTATTAGGAGAAATTTCTTTACTGAAAGAGTGGTCAAGCATTGGAACAGGCTGCCCAGAGAGGTGGTGGAGTCCCCATCCCTGGAAGTGTTCAAAAAATGGGTAGATGTGGCACTTTGGGGCATGGTTTAGTGGGCATGGTGCTGTTGGGTTGATGGTTGGGCTGATGATCTTAGAGATCCTTTCCAGCCTTAATGATTCCTAGTGTTTCTTTCATTAAAAACTAATCCATCCACCAAGCCAGGAAACATGGAATTAATTATGACTCTGCCCTTAACTGGTTTAGTGGTGGACTTGGCAGTGTTAGGTTAATGGTTGGGCTGGATGATCTTCAAGGTCTTTTCCAACCTAAACGATTCAATGATTCTAACCTCTGTTCACAAGTTGAAGGTTCCCAAACCTTTTTGCTGGTGACTTTCCCCTCTGAGCTGTGATGACACGTTTAGTTGTGAGCACCTGCTTCTTTGAATGAACTTAATTGTCAGGTGTCACTTGTAAACTCTCCCGTTTGGGAACTGTTGCTGCAAGCCGTTCTGTATTGTCCTGCCACATTCCCTTTTGCTTGTGCGTTGCCTTTTTGAGCCGTGGGTTGCTGTTGCTTTCCGAGTTCTCCCTGCAATGATTGTTTCACTCTATTCTTTTGTCCTTCACAGCTGCCCACTGGCCTTTACAAAAAAGTTCTTGTCATTCTGCATGACTGCATCCTGCCTTACATGAATGAGCCCACTCTCATGATAGATTTCTTGACGGTGGCCTATGGCATAGGTGAGTGAAACCAGGCTTTTTGTCCTTTGTGAGGCTCTGCAGCGTGGTGCGTATGGACTTTGGGGGGCTGCTGGATGCAACTCCATGGCCTGGGTGATGAAATAGATGTACTCTTGGCTGGGGTGAAGCTAAGGAACTAGTGTGAACTCCGTTGTCCCTGCAAGTGAGATGTTTTCACCTGTGTGTGTCAGTGTTGTTGCTCCTTGTATGCAAGGAGGATCATATTTAAGGCTTTGGGAAGAGTAGAATACTGGAGTGATTTCTTTTAAATGTAGAGTTCAGCCAGCAGTGCTGATACCTGGCCTGCATCCGGTCACAGGGTGCACAGATTCCTACAGAAATGTCCTTTCTGAGGAGACCTTTGCCTCCCCAGTGTGGCTTTCTTGGGGGATGAGAGCAGCATGTCCTTCAGAGCCTGTTCTTCTAAACTACAGCTTAATCTTTGTGAGTAACTTATGAGCCTCTGGATGAAATTGTGTTACCGTACAGCCATCGTGCTGGCTCTAATTGCAGGTACTCTTAGTTTTGTGTTCCTTATGGGAAGGTTTTATAATAGAAACAAGTTGAAGCAGATATTTGTTTTCCGATTGTGTTGATACCTGCCTGCTTTCTTACAGGTGGAGCAATCAGTCTTCTAGCCTTAAATGGATTATTTATTCTGATTCATCAGCATAATCTGTAAGTGAAAAGAGCATCTTGTTTAACAAAACATGGGTTTTTGCATTTATATCTCTATAGAAAGGAACTGAAATAGATTCTACGCAGCTTCAGGCTTTAAAATTCCCCCGTGAGAAAGACAAACGCTGCACAAGAGGCTCAGCTGTTTGGACGCTGAGCTCTTTTGATAGTCTGACCTTTGTTTCAGCTGAGCCTAAGTATCTTCTTCTCCAGGCTGTGGTCGCTCAGCACTTGAAAATCGATTTCCATTGATCTGATCGCATAGTGAAGCTGTAGTCTGTGGTATGCCTTTCAGTGCATCCTGTACCATTTGCAGTCAATGGACATAGCTTCACATCCTGAAGATGGCTGGGTCCTGCAAGAGCCATAAATTCACCTTACAGCTTATTTTCAAATGGTGACTGCGGAGAGAAGCCTAAGAAAGCTAAAGAGAGCACAGCAGTGGTCTGGGGTAGCCTATAATGAAAGCACAGGAACATTTAGATGCAGTGTAGTCCCATTGTACATCACTAATGGATGTTGTCTTTTACCTTTTTTTAACAGGGAATATCCTGACTTTTACAAAAAGCTGTACAGTCTTTTAGACCCTTCTATATATCACGTGAAGTACCGAGCCCGCTTTTTCCATTTAGCTGATCTGTTTTTGTCTTCGACGTAAGTAGCATCTTTATTAGGTATGTTCACATATTTTCATCCTGCTTTTCTGTAGGCCAGAGACTTCTTGAACGGTCCCCCACACGTCTGGAGATAATGTATTCAGTGTGCCTGCTGGATTAGGTTCATTTTTACCCAGAAGACTGAATCTGAGAGTGTTACTGTAGTGTTGTGTAATTTTCATGTGCTGTTTTTGAAGATTTGCCACACAGCCATCTAGTTTCAGAAAGTAAAAATGCAGTTGGTTATCTGAGCTTGATCTGCAAGTGATTACGGATGTATTTTGATCTGTATTCCACTTTGGCTGAAAGTGATGATTTTTCTGTCTGTAGGAATATAGAAAAGTAACGTTTGCGGGCTTTTTATAGATCATGAAGCTGCTGATAACTTGATGACCTTTTGCAGATGTGTGTCATTGAAATATAAAACGTTTGGCTGTCTGTCTTGATGCTGTCACTTCATAGTACACAGGGAAGAAACTAGATAAGCAGCCGGTCATATAGTTGCCATCATGTGTTATAAAATAAACTAAGAGTAATGCTTTACAGTTCAGCACTAGGCGCTTAATATCAAAGCCCCTGTATTCACAGTGTGCTTTGGGGAGAGTAACAAGATCCGACCGCTGGCGTCCCGTGGGGTGGCTTTGCAGAGCCTTGCAGGTGTAGCAAGCCCTAGGGCTGAAAGGCTGAGGGGCTGAAAATTGTCACCTTTCATCCCGGCTCTTCTGACCTGAAGAAGGTGCCTAGATGAGCCGATTGCTGTTTTTACCGTAAAAAAAGAACTGTCCCGCACATTTACATTACAGCAGCCTTACGTTCCCATTAACAGCTGCACTGCTTACTTTAGTCCTGGAAGTATTATGTAGATTTAACACCATGGCCCGTGGATTAATTAAACCCACAAAACGACATTAGAAGAATATAATTAAGGTTGCCTGGCGAAGCACTCAGAAGTTTATAAAATGACTGAATAAAGACCACCGTGTGAATGGCCATGTGCAAGAGCTGTGCTCGGCTATGGCGAGTGCCTGGAGCGGTGCCGTGCATCTGGATTGAACCGCAGAGTGATCTGACGTTATTCGTGCGTTGAATAGAAATCTCCCCAAATTTGTTCCCTGGAGCGCACAAGACCCTGTAGTACTGCTTGAAACCAGGGTTCTTACAGCTTCTCTTTACTCCGTAGCCCAAAAAAATCTGAAGAACCCCAGCGATCTTTAACCTGCCGTGCTGTTTGGATTGGTGAGGCTGCTGGCTTGCTTGCTAGGACTTTTACATGCTGGTTTCTTCTGTCTCCTTTCCAACAGTCACTTGCCGGCGTACCTGGTAGCGGCATTTATAAAGCGCCTCTCCCGGCTGGCCCTCACTGCCCCTCCCGAGGCTCTGCTCATGGTCATTCCCTTCATCCGTAATCTCCTTCGGAGGCACCCCGCCTGCAAAGTGCTAGTGCACAGACCTAACGGGCCGGAAGGTAAGAGGGGAGGTGGGCAGGGGAGCTTTGTGTTACGCCTTTAGATATCATAAAGAGCGGGATTCCTGCGGAGGAGAAGGGGAGATCCCAGCCCCAGTTCTGAGGTTTGGAAGGATCCCTCTGTCCCTTGAGTTTGTGGAAAGCCAGCAGGCTGCTCCTGCAAGTTCTCTGCCGGTGAAGACCCATCTGCATTGCTCCTCTCTGACCTTCGGCCTCGCAGTTGGCTCCCCGGCGTCTGTGATTCCCTGGGAGAAGGCTGCTTTGAGCCCTGCACGCTGACCCAGGCGACTTACAAATGCTAAAGGGCTGGGGGGCACCTGTACCAGACACAGAGCTTGTCTTGCTCACCTCGAGAAACGAGAAGAAAATGAGTGCAGAAACCAGAGACCTCTTCGATTTCAATCTGTAGCGGTTTTGTGTAGGTGGCCCCACTGGGGCCTCGGCAGACTCCTGAGTTTTTGCTTCATCTCTCTGTGATTTAACCGATCGGTGTCGAACACCAGTGGTGACCGCTCAAAGTTGCCTGAGATGCGCTTGGCATCAGACTATTCCAGTTCTTTGTGCCCTACTTCCTGTGCTCTTTAAAAGTAACATGATGCTGTGGTGCTGCAAACGGTGACTCTTGGGTCGTGCTGGGATGGGTCAGCTTGTTCCTGCACCCCAAATGTCTTGGGAAGGAGCAACTCTGGCTGCAGCACCGCTCTGCGTCTCTGTGTTCCCTTTGGGGTTACGTACATCACACAGAAGGTATTAGCTCTGTATCTCTCTTCCCTCAGGTATGTCAGAAGATCCATATATTATGGAGGAGGAGGAGCCATCTGAAAGCAGGGCGTTGGAGAGCTCTCTCTGGGAGATCCAGGTATGTCAGCTAAAAAGGAACGTCTGCGTCTGCCGTGGGCTTCTTCCACCCTTGCCGCTTCCTTGACACACGTTGGCAGCGGGCAGTCCCGCTTACCAGAACCTGCTGGCATACGTCTTGCAAATGAGATGAGCTTCTGGCTGATCATTTATTCTGCGTCCTTTTCTATCCTAGCATAAGCAGCAAAAGATTCCACACTGGAGAAATTGTACGTGCTAATTAGTAGGTGACTTGTGAGCACACGTCTGACTGTGCGGCTGAAAAGTGTGCGGTTAACAGCTGAAGCAGACTAAATAGCTGCAAATGTATGAAGCTTTTTATTTGCTTTGGAGGGGAGAGAGGAACTTGCTGAGCACTGATGGAAATTAATTGGGGACAGCTAGGTCATCCTGTAGAAATGGGTTTAAAAACACGAGAGGAGATTGTAACATTCACCTTTCACCTGGATCGTTTGTAGGATGGCGTATGAAGGTTGAAATTGGTTACGTTATTCCTGATGGTTCCAAAACCTTAATGCCAGGGTTATCGCTTTCCATTTAAATGCTACAAGGGTTTTGTGTGAGGGGCTGAAGCAGCAAGAAGAGCGTTGTGCAGGAGCTCGGGTGCAGCATCGGGGCTATGGGAGGTAGCAGAATCGGGTTGTGCGTTGCAGGCATGGTCTGTGGAGGAGTCTGTCTGTCTGGAGCTGGATGTGAACTGGGTGAGAGGGGCCTTCGACGTGTTTGCAAGACGGCTGAAATCGGGATTTCTTGAAGCTCTGTAGTAGCGCAGTACAGCAAACCTGCCTCTGCCAGAATTCAATGTTCACCAGAGATCTGACCAACAAAGGGGCAGACGCTGGGTGGGAATCCAGATGGGTGTGTGTTACCCTGTACTTGTTAAACCATCTCCTGTTTGTCTCGCTTTTGCAGTCTCTACAAAACCATTACCACCCAGATGTGGCCAAGGCAGCTGCTACCCTGAACCGGTCGCTGTCTGAAATAGAGGACGACATATCGGGGCTCCTGGAGCTCTCGGCGTACGAGGTAGCGCTGCCGTGCCTTTGTGGGCGATCGGAACCAGAGGAAGGGAGGCTGGTTCCAAAGGCAATAGCCGTGTCCTGTTCATCAGCCTTGCTGCTGGGGAGGGGGCTAGACTGACTTCGGGTTACCCAGAGCCAGGGAAAGCGGGAAAATATCTGTTAAATAATGGAGCATGAGGCAGCAGTGGTGACAGGGATGGCTTTTATATGAAGGGTTTATTGCTGGATCTTTTAAGAGGCTAGAGTGAGCAGTGGCATCAGCCAGGGAGAAGAGCTTCTACGGAGTTTTGCCAATATCTTCTATTTTTTTTCTTCGTAGCTTTTTGATAAAGAAGTAAAGAAAAAGGCTGTTGACGTGCCCCTGGAATTTGAGCAAGTACGAGGTTTGTTTGGGAAGAAAAATGATATTTTTGCAGAGCACTTCACTTTAGATTGACGTGATCCTTTGTAAACACATCTGCACGACTGACTGATCCTGGGGATGTGCACGGAGCTCACGTGTTGTGCTCGGCGGTTCTGCCTTTGAAGCATCTCCACGTGATGAGAGCTGGGCTGCTTGAGGAGGGTGCAGCCTTCTTCAGTGACCTTTGCCGCTGCCCACGGAGGGCCTTGCCTTTGTTGCTCCTTGTTTCTCACGCTTGCGTGTTGCCGCCTGATATTTGGGAGGGATTTTCCATCAGAGCAAATTTTTCTGGACCTGTTCATTGCTGGGGTTCCAGCCTTTTTCTCCCAAGTTGCTTGGTGCTGGCTGTGATCAGTGACTGCGTCGACAAACTGCCTTGCTGCCATTCGATGCGACTGAGGGGACGTGCGATCTCTGACTACTGCTCTTATTTTTCAGATGTGTTCCTTTCATACTAGAGCTGGTAACCTGTTTGTAGCAAGTGACTTCAGTGCGTGGCTGTAAACACCTGATGATACTCTAGTTATATTTTTTTATATACGCTTTCAAACTTATGTCTTCAGATACTCTAGTTATATTTTTTATATACACTTTTGAACTCATGTCTTCAGAGGGATGTTTAGCTTCTATGTACTTGTCTTAACACGCTCACGTTCGAGGCATTGAAAGCTCAGGTTTGTCAAAAACAACTCGTAGATGATGCTCGGTAATTCCATCTACGAAGCGTGGCTGATGTTCCTCCATGTACATCCATCTCAGGCTGTGAGGTTGCTTAATTCAGCATGCTCGTGAGCTTTGGAAATGAGCGTAATCCTGGTGGCTGCCGTAGCTGGGGAGGCCAACTGATGTGCAGTGGGAGGTACGTCTAATCCTTGATTTTTGCTTCAGAATGATAAGCAGCTTAATGCAGCTTCGCTTGCAGCCTGCGAGCGTTGTAGGAGCTCTGGCCAGTGCGTATCCAGGTGCTGATCAAGTTTTAACTAGTCCCCTCGTACTAGGTGGTTTCGTTAATTTGGGTTTTTGCCATATAGTTCCAAAAGTCATGCACAAATTCCTTGTGGTAGGTTTTTTTTTCCCCCCCCTGCCCAACATTTTAAGTTTGAGATCAACTCCTTACTAAGAACACAGATGAACTCACTCAGGGCTTTTTTTTTTGTAATGGTTTTCAACTTATTGTCTCACTTTAACTCTGCTTGTGTATTTTGAAATGATATTTTGTGGAGGAGAAAAGTAGAGTCAAGAAAGTGGAGGCCAAGAAATCCAATTTCTGGCAGACAAGTCTGTTTAAGTCAAGGAAAACTGCAGCTGTCTTGGAGACACAAAGTGTTATGTTTTCTTTATCCAGTTTTCTTCACACTTTCCAAACAATGGACATGTCCTCAGATTATAGAGCTCTACCTCCTCCTTTTTTTTTTTTATTTTTTAATTTTTTTATTTTCCTCTGATGCTTTTGAATTCAGGTAGGGTGTTTTTCAGGATACAATTTTTTTTTTTTTTTTTTAAAAAAAAGTTTTATCTCTTGGGTAAGAGAGATTGTAACATGTCTCCTCCCTGGCCAGCCTGCTTTTCTTTTTTCTTTGACTTCTGGTATCTGTGGTAGGAAGGCAAAATGGCTGAGATGATCACATACAACTTGAGACACCTCAGTCCAGGTTCACCCAAGCGTTGTATTTCAGCTCTAAAATGTATTTCCCTGTATCATACGTTGTATGTATGTGTTTGGTAAACAATTTGAAGTGCTTTGATGCTATAGTAATGAGGACCACACAGCTACCTTTGAAAGATGTATCGTCTTTCAGATGAAATGAATGAATATATTGAATATTGGAATGAACGAATATTGAACGCCTTTGCATCTTTTTGTTTTACTCGGGTTGGCCCAGTTATGTCTGTCCGTTCAGATGAAATGAATGAATATATTGAATATTGGAATGAACAAATATTGAACGCCTTTCTCTGCATCTTTTTGTTTTACTCGGGTTGGCCCAGTTATGTCTGTCTGAAAGTACTGCTGGCAGTGCCATTCGTATCTTTTGTAATATTGACGCTGCGGGAGTGTTAGGATTTTTTTTTTTTTAATGCACAAATAAGCTGGGGAAGGGTCTGGAGCACAGGGCTGGTGGGGAGCGGCTGAGGGAGCTGGGGGGGTTCAGCCTGGGGAAGAGGAGGGCGAGG